CAACAATGGCTACATGTTCCATTTTTAAGCATTATATGTACACACCAGCTGAAATACAATTCTCTGTAAGAACCTGTTTTTAATTAGCTCTGGAGCTCTGTTGCTTTTTGTTTTGGTTTAATTAAATTAAATTGAACAAATATGCACTTGGATACCAACTGGACAATCACAGCATGAGGAGCTGTGGGAAAACTGAGAGTGGATCAGATGCGGTGGCTGCCTTCTCAGAAGTTGCAGCCTCGCGGGTGGGAAGACAAGAAAATAACTGATAATCAAGAAGGTGGAGATGACTCAGTCTCCAGGGGCAGCAGGAGGGGAAAAGGAGACAGTTCAGAGGAGGCAGAGGTCACCAGGGACAGGGACCAGGCGGCCGTTCTGAGGAAGGTCGATGGACCAGACCGTGTGAGCGCTTGGGGGACAGTGACTGCGTAATCACCCTGGTATCCCCAGTAACTGGCACCCAGTAAGTGCTCAGTAAGCGTTTGAAGGATTAATTAAATAAACTCTAATGGCAGTGAACATGCCAGTTAAACCAGTTTCTAAGCACAAGGCTTCTCTTAGACTGAAAGCATTTGGGGAAAACTCTTAGTTAAAGCAAGTTTTATGTGTGTTACGGGATGCTTTCTCACATTTTAATTCAGTGGCTGCAGTACTGACTTTTCAGCACAAGAGGGAGCTGCTGCCCAGTTTATTTAACTGAAATAGTATTTCTTAAGGTTTACCCAGTTCTTCCCAAATTAAGTGTAGTATTTTGAGCCTTTTAACCACCTTACTCCCAAATAACCCACCAACCAAAAATATCCCATTACAATACAATAATATTAACTTTTAAAAATTGGGTTTTTTTTCTTTGATTTTAGAGAGAGATGAAGGGGGAAAGAGATCAATTTGCTGTTCCACTTTTTTGTGCACTCACTGGTTGCTTCTTGTATGTGCCACGACCAGAGATCAAACCCTCAACCTTGGTGTATTAGGATGATGCTCTAACCAACTGCGCTATGCAGCCAGAGCAATAAAATTGTTCTGGGCGGTGCATTATTTTCTAAAAGGAATTTCTCCTAAGTTACACAGTTAGTAGGGGGAAAAAGGTAGCATTTAGAATGTTTTATAAATGGATATCCTGGACCAGGCTGGAGGGCTCTTCAGAGCCCTAAATAAACTCAGGGTCTCCCAGTGATGGAAGCTCTACTTATAAAAATGATTCAGAGCCTCATGTGTGGGCAGCCAAGCTGAGATAACGGCCATTTCTAAGGGCCCAAGCGTTCACGAGGGTCAGGGTCTGGCTGAGACGCTGGCTGAGTCCAGGCCTTCAAACTTAGGATGTACAATTTCTTTTTACAACGTGCTGCAAGTAATGGACTACGAAGTAGCTAAAATTCAGGTGTGTCTTAAATAAGAACACAGAACTTAGGGGAAAGTTGGGGAAGAATTATATGCTTTTAAGGGATTTCTTGCTTTACTAAAGGATTCTCCACAGATTTCTCCCCATAGCAAGCTCCCAAGTAACTGTCCATTTTTTAAAAACTTGAGTTACCAAAATGAAATCCGCACACCGTTTCTATCAAATAAAGTATGTGCTGCTATCATCTAAAAGCAGCCCCCTATAAACGACACTGGAAGGTAGTTAAAATGTGGGAGGTAGTATTGTTAAGGTAAACAGTGGTCTGTGTGCTTTCTACTATCTGAGAATAAAAGAAAATAGCTTAAAGTGAAAGAACATTTGCCCAATTCATGACCAAATTCAACCTATGTTAAGAATCTGAATTTTATCTTAGAGAAAACAATCCCTTTGGTCTTCCCGTAAATACATCATTATTTACGATCCTTTTTGTAACAGGAGGCCCGGCTCTCTGCCATCACCTGGGGCTGCGCTCTCCCAAGCCTGACTGCTGGCATCTGTGCATCACCTTCTACCCCTGTGGTTGTTTCATACTATTCGCTTTTGGTGGGTGAACACCAGGCCTTCTTGATGTTTGCGTCACCTGCATAGCCTAGACTGGGGCCAGGAGTGGACAGTTCTTTCATAGTTAGAAAAAACAATGACCAAGGTTGACTAATACATATTGGGGAAGAAAACAGGCTCTTAATGTTTAAGGATTATATGTTTACTTGGTTTCGGCTGGTTGGTTGGTAAATGCTAATGCTCTGGTCAAGAGGGAGCAGGAGTGGTGAGGAGCATAGACTGAGGGAGTCCTGGGTTCAAATCCCATCTCTGCCACTTCAAGCTGTGTGGTCCTGGGCAAGATTCCTGTCCTTTCTACATCTCGATTTCTTCATCAATAACAGGATGATGATGCTGGTGAAACTTGCCATACTGTATGTATTATTTATAAAGTACTCAAAATCATATCTGATATATAGTAAATACTATCAGTGATTATAAAGTAGAATAATTATATTTAGTATGATATAGTCAGAAGGTACTTTGATTCATCAAAAACTAAATAAAGCTTTAAAGAAATATAACTGAGATGGGTTGATGAAAATGTACTGGAATTATGCAGCGATGATGGTACACTGCCTCGTGAATATACTAGCAACCACCTTCAAGTGGTGAATTTTGTGGTATCTGAATGTCTTAATAAAATGTGCAGAGAAAAATTCAACGAATATTTGTGGGCACAGTAGGTACTCAACCCTCTCCTGGGTTTGGGAGAGGACAGAAAGCGGTTTAGGATGTGATCTTTGCCCTGGAGAGTCTGGTTTAGGAGCCTCTGCAGAGTGTCGCCACGTCCCCAGTGCCCTGGAGAAGACGTCACTATCCACATTTTTAACTCTGAAACTCAGAAGGGTTAAGTAATTTGCCCAGGGTCCCACAGGAAGTAGGGGCGGCAGGACCCCAACTTCCTTTTTCAGAGAGGGACAATCTCGTTGAAGACAGACGATGGACATCCATAAAGTAATTAGTGAAGCCGACATTGCAGGGCCTCATCAGGCCCGATGTATGGGATATGGAAAATTTCCAACGGCCCTGGTGGGCAGGCAGTGGTGGGGAACGTTCCTGGAGGCCGAGGCCTCCGAGAGGGACCTTCACAGCCGGGTGAGGTTCTCACACGCAGGGCAGTTGTGCCGGGCGTAGCTGTCTTTAGAGACGGATAAGAAGTGCTCGCAGACTTGCTTTTCCTAGAAGTGTGCGTATTCACAGGTTGTAAAGCCCATGGTGAGCATATGAACAAGCACAGGTGTGTAAGAAACCCATATCGACACAGCTGAAGCCATTTGTTTCGACCAATATACCAAGTAGGATGTTAATTAGAGAATGAGGGGGCTCTCAAGACGATTCACATTGCTTAGCCATTCATTCACTTATCTCTTAATTTATTCAACACATTTTTGAGCATTTACCTAATATCTGAGAATATAAACATAAGTAAAATAGAATCTTTGTTCTTTGGAAAGATTCTAAGTTGCGAGTTGAAATCAGACAGGGACCCAAGAAAATGCTGTAAAGTGACATGTGGTCTATGAAGGAGAATGGAAGCATAGGCTTAAAACACTATGTAAAGTTGATGTTCATAAAATAAAGATTGCTCAAGAGGTTAATTTTTCTGGCTAAAAAATAAACTTCTACACAAAGTACCCTAGCAGGGCCTCCGCTGGCCGAGGAAGGGACAGGGAGCCCCTCTCTGCTCGCTGCTCTGCCCGCCTGATAGGCTCCCAGGCGGTGGGCCGCTCGCCCGAAACTGGTTTCAATTTGAAGGGGGACAGCTTTCCTGTTCTCTGCTTCCAGGCTGACCCTCTGAGGGAAAATATGTTGGGACTTGGTTCTAAGACGGAGCTGGACCCCATATGATGTTTGCGGAGTGGAGGGCAATACACCAAGAGGAAACCATTTTCTCTATCAGGGCCCTGGGCTCAACCAGTCCTCACCCAGGGACCATTTTTAAGGATAAGCAAGGAACGATGTATGGTTTGGTTTGGTTTTGCTTTATAAACAGTGCTTTTTATTGTGGTGACATATTCATAACACAGATTGTATCACTTTAACTGCCTTTTAGTGTACAGCCCTGTGGCACTAAGTACATTCACGAGGCTGTGCAACCACCGGCACTATCCATTTCCAGCATCGCAAACTGAAACTCTACCCATTACGCAATAACTCTCCCCTTCTTCTAAACCCTCGTAATCACCATTCCACTTTCTATCTCAATGAATTTGCCTATCCTAGGCACCTCACGTAAGCGGAGTCACACAGCATTTGTCCTTTTGTTTCTGGATTATTTCATTTAGTATGTTTTCAAGGTTGATCCATATTATAACGTGTTATCAGAATTTCATTCCCCTTGAAGGCTGAATGATATTCCATTGTATGGATGTACTATATTTTGCATATCTACTGATGGACACTTGGGTTGGTTCCACCGTTTGGCGGTTGTGAATAATGCTGCAGTGAACACTGGCACTAGGTCGAGCTGGGGGTGGCCGGGGGAGCAAGGAACAGGGGAGCAGATACAGCCTGGCGCGGCTTGGAGCCCAGATTTGGTCTGGGTTCAAATCCCAGTTCTTCTCTTTGATAGTTTAGGCAATGAAATTAACCTCCCTCAAGGTCAGTTTTCTTATCTGTCGGAGAGTCTTGAGGAGGAAATAAATCATGTACCTGAGATGATTCCCTCAGTGCCTGGCCTTCCCACGCAGTACAGGTTGGGACCTGTTTTCCCTCAAACCCTGAGCATCAAATTCAGGTGCTGTGTTAGATTGCGAAACACTTCCCCACCTCCCAGTTCTAGACATGGATGTTAAAACAGGAGGGTGTGATGCAACTTGTATTTTAGTGGCCATTCTAGAATTTACCTATTGCCTTTCTACTACCTTCTTTCTCTCAAATCAAATGCTTTATCTTTTTGGGACTAGTAGATGGGGCTTTCCCCGTAGGCACAAAACTAGCTTTTAAGCAAAACCTACATTCCTTGCTTAAAAAAATAAGAACAGAAGAACAAAATCAACAGAAAACCTCAGCTATTCTGGGCAAAACTCTTCCAGACACCATTGGCAACAAATACTTCTTGTAGCGATCCTGTTTCCTTTACTGGAAAGGAAACACTCTCCACACTGACTGAAATTGAAGGGAGAAACAATATGAAAACACTTTGAGGCTACAACCTTACATAAGGGTAAATTATTATCATTAATCATAAATACAGAATATGTTTGATAAGTGAGCTGACATGCAAGTGGACAAGTTGTCTTCTCTGCTCTGCCTGGTGCTGGGCGAAGCCAGGCTCAGCTCAGCTTCCTGCTCATCCTTGCTGATTTAATTCAATGAGCCGACCTGCAAACACAGCCAGGGTTCCAATGATACAGACGACCATGAAGACTCCAAGGAGAATGTGGTCCATCACCATTGCAACATACTTCCATTCCTCAGACGCCTGGGAGAGAAGGAGGTGTTAGAATTTCCTTATTGTCATTAGGTTCACAGTGTTCATGCTGTGAATTTTCTACAACCCATTTAATATATAGATCTCGAAGTCCTCAACATCCTTTGGCTGGCATTGTGGAGTTTTTTTTTGTGTGTGTGTGTTTTTTTTTTAAGATTTTACTTATTTATTTTTAGAGAGAGGAAAAGGGAGGGAGAAAGAGAGGGAGAGAAACATAAATGTGAGGTTGCCTCTCCTGAGCTCCCCACTGGAGACCTGACTCGCAACCCAGGCATGTGCCCTGACTGGGAATTGAACTGGCGACCCTTTGTTTCATAGGCTGCACTCAATCCACTGAGTCACACCAGCCAGGGCAAGATCTTTATCTTTTGAATTGATCATTCACAATGATGACTTACCAAGGTGGCCTAGAGGCAGGCACCAAGGCTTATCTTAGGCAATAGCTGCCTCTAAAACCCCAGCCTGCCCACCAAGCCAAAACCATCCATCTGCGCTCGAGCATTTGATTATTGAAATAATCAAATTTATTATTTTGAGTTTCAAGGCACAAAGCTTACGTTATTGGACTCCTGGTCTGACTTCATGGTCTCCGCAATGTATTTGACACCCTCGATGGCACTTTTCACCTCAGGGTGTTTGATCAGGGGAGAGTGGAAGCCCATGGGCGGAGGCCCTGGCTTCCCAGAAATGTCAGAAATATCAATGTCTTCTGTAAAAATCTTTTTGTCTTGTTTTTCTCTGGATGGTCTTTTCATTGTGGAGAAGAACATGATATTTGGGATCGTGTCAATAAAAACCTAACATAAGAAAGAAATCCATTTATGAGAATAATTGCTAGCCAGGCGAGCATCAACTCTGACTTTGAATTAGCAATGTAACTTTAGGCCAATCGTTCATCTTCTCTGAGCCTCAGCCTCTTTGTCCCGAAAACAAAAGGACCATACCACATTTTCTCATAGATTACTTCACGCATAGCCTGTGGCCTGTCAAATTACTATGGTTGTGATGATTCTGTCATGTGAGCCTTTCACCACTGGAGGGAGCCTATGCGCAGCTGTCGAACTCAAGAAACCAGTGATGCTCACAGGAAAACAGTGATTAGCTTGGGCCTCCTTGAGGTACCTGCTTCTTTCAAAGCGATGAGTTCTCATGACCATATGGTTGAGGAAAGTGTCCCTCGAGCTAAAAAATAGATAAGGTTCTGGCACCACAAAACAGCTAGACTATTTTCTTTTGTTTCTTGTTTCTGAAAAAATGCGACATAGGTATTGCCAGGAGTCACTAACAGTCTTGATAGAAACAAGGACTGTTTCTCCTTAAAAAAAAATTGTGAGCAGTAGTTTCTCTGTCAATTCATGACAAATCTTTTGAATTTTACACAAAAGACCCTGGTATTTGTGTCTCTGTGAAGTTTTATTAAAAAAAAGAAATGGACATATTTGAAATGTTATCATATTTTAAATTTCAAAAACATAGATACTTGAGACCAAGATCCCCATTGAAACTCACTTTTTGACAATCTCTCAAGCCTCTACTCCATCTCTAGCCCTTATTCTATGCGGATGATTCTACCGGCAAAAATTTTGCAACCTGTTCACAGACTAGGAGACAGTCAAACAGAAATTTCAAGAATTTCTCAGCATTTCAATAAAAAAAAACAAAACAGTTATTTATCTTCTCTAATCAAAGAGATTCTTTAAGCTTGAATTAGAGGTAAGCTTTGTTAATTCTGTTTTTCTTCTCCCTCTGAGGAAGCTATCTAAGTTCTGTATCTCTAGAAAGAGACCCAAGAAATTTCCTTCCAAAAATCCCTACAGCCCAGAAAGGACTTTCAGTTCCGAGCACCACAGGGGTGAGCTAGAATTCCGCAGGCCACGAGGGGGAGCCCTGGAGAGCCCTGCCTTGTGCACACTTGGCAGAACGGCTGCCCTGTGCAGAGTTGGCAGGGGCCTCGCTCACTCACCTTCCGCACCCACTCCGGCATGACGTGGGTGCTGGGGGAGCGGTGGTGTGTGTTGATGACGATGACAGTGATAATGATGGACGCAATGACAAACACCATGGTAAAGAGCATGTATTTCCCAATCAAGGGCACAGCACTGGAGGTGGAAGGGATCAGCTCCACGATGACCAGAAGGAACACGGTTAAAGACAGCAGGACAGAGATGCTCAGAGTCATCTTCTCTCCTGGACAAAGTGAAGAAGAAACATAACCACCAACCTGTTATGGCTTCAATGGTTACTCCTTTCCAACCTGAAGTCCTAAGCCTCAGCACCTCAGTGACCGTATTTGGAGACGTGGCCTTTAAAGGGGTAACCAAAATGAGGTATCGTGGCAGGCCCTCATCCATTGCGACTGGTGTCCTTATAAGAAGAGGAGACTAGGACACAGGTACACAGAGAGAGGGAAGACCATAAGAGGACACGAGGAGAAGGCCACCACCGGTGAGCCAATGAGAGAGACCCGAGCAGAAACTCAGCCTACTGACACCTTGATCTCCAACTTCACCTTCCAGAGCTGTGAGATGATAAATCTCTGTTTTTTCAAAACTACCCAGTCTGTGTCCTTTGCTATGGCTGCCCTCGCAGACTAAGACACCACCAAAACCCCAGGGTGAGAGGGATGTGACAAGCATTTCTCAAAGCATCGTTCTGGGGAAATTCATCAGATAGAATTTCCTATGAGACTGTAGCACCTTAACTCTGCTGACAGTCGTAGGTTCATTAGAAGCTGCCAAGCAGGAAATGACTAGTTCATCTCATGCCCCAGAATTCTACTTCTTTTTTAAAAAAATTTTCAAAATAGCCCTGGCTGGAGTGGTTCAGTGGATCCAGCACTGGCCTGCTAACCGAAATGTTGCTGGTTTGATTCTCCATCAGGGCCCAAGCCTGGGTTGCAGGTCAGGCCCCTGGTTGGGGGCATGCAAGAGGCAACCGATCGATGTTTCTCTTGCACATTGATGTTTCTCTCCCTCTTACTCCCTCCCTTCCCCTCTCTAAAATAAATAAATAAATAAATTAATGAATAAATAAATAAAATCTTTAAAAAAACATTTAAAAAAGCATGTTTATAGATTTTAGAGAGAGAGGAAAAAGGAGAGAGAGAGAAAGAAAGAGAGAGAAACATTGATTGGTTGCCTCCCATACACATCCTGACAGGAGATTGAACCTACCACCTTTTGGTGTATGGGGTGATGCTCCAACAAAATGAGCCACATCAGCAAGGGTCAGAATTGCATTTCTTGGTGGAGCTCAGAGAACAAAGTTACACAAACTGGGTGGCATGCTAGACCCTGAGTGGCAGTTTTTCCATCTGCAGCAAAATGTCATAATAAACCTCACAAAACTGAACCAAAGCCTGGCCTACTTGTTACCTTGCAGATGAGTGGGCAGTCCATGTATATTTTTCCAGAATGAAGCCTACAAGTACATGCATGATTTTCTCATTATGGGAGCAAGCAGTAAGACCCAAACTGAGGAAATGAAATCAATGATTTCATACCACTTACTTTCATCTACAGAGGATAATTTGGTTTTTGTTCTATTCTTCATAGTAAGGAACTAGGGAGTCTCCTGCTCCCCCCTTTTCTCCTGGCCCTACAACTAGGCAAATATGGCAGACAAGAAGGGCAGGGACTGAATGGCACTGAGATGTTTCTGTGGGGACTTAGAGGCAGTAGAGAGTCATTGGTAGGGACTCTCCTTGGGCTGGTCTTGCTGATTGTGTCCTGGGAGAGCTTGTGTTGCCCTGCTTTCCAGTATGGAGCTTTGCCCTCCCATACTGGATGTTTCCAGATGCTAGGAGTACAGAGCAGGACACAGAGCAGGTGCAAACAAGAAATGATCAGTTCTACCTCCTGAGGAAGAAAGCCTTTAAAAGTGAAAAAGAAGACAATTTAAATATGGTATGTTGATCAAGTTACATCACATTTCTTGAATTAATAATAGCAATAATTATAACAGCTAACATTCATCAAGTAGTTTCACTGTTCTAAATCTTTTCTAAGCATAAATCATTTAACATTTATAGAAACTAGGATTAGTTTGCATATTGCCTCAACTAGTGTTTTCTCTTCACTTTAAGACACTTCATTTGATTAGAAAGCTAAAAAAAGAAATACTCTTTTGTGATCATTTCTTTAAAAATAAATACAATCACTACTAGAACATACTTTCTGAAGGGGAAAATCTGCCTTATTTCCTACTATATTCCTGCCATGTAACAGTTGTTCAACAAGTACTGTATGTTGAATGAGTGAATGCATAATCTTTTTTTTTTCCTTGTTGGAAAATTGGATTTAGGCTTTTGTGAGGTTTTTTAAAAATAATTTTGATAAAATTGAGACCTGTCATAAGTCTGAGAATTGTCTGTACCATCTTCCTTTTCCCCCTCATGCCAGCCATAGATCGTTTATGAGCAGTGACTTGCTGGCAGGCAGATATCCCGTTTCCCTCTTTTCTGTAGATTGTTGATATTTGGTGAAATTATGTCACAGATGTGATGACTCAGTAGGAGGTAAAGAAATTGTTTGGCTTGATATGTGAGAAAGCATTGCCACTTGGGAAGTATGGTCTTGTGTATAAAGACGCTGCCATCTGGAAAACAGACACACAAAAGCTATTTTCAAGTGGCCAGTAGTGAACAAAAGAGGCAAGACCTGGATGAGTCAGTAGAGAGCAGTGACTGTGGAGGGGAAGAGGCGTGAGGTGTGTCTGGGACCGAGCACACTTCGGGGCACACAGTAGGTATTTAAAAAATAGCTACGGGTGGCCATTCTCTTTAAGTAGACTGAGCTATTTATATGCATCTTCAGGGCCGCGTTCCACTCTCGGCCTGCCCTGTCGTCTGCTCCGGCTGTGAGCTCCCTCCCTGGGGGCTTTCACCACTGGCCACGGCCACTCAGTAAGCGTGTCCTCCGAGTGATGATGGTTTCTGTCTGTCTGCCTGGACTTGTTGATTAGCCTGTAATTATTTCTGGCTTTTCCCAAAATAGCAGCACAAGATCTGTCAGCATCAGCAGTCGCAGCCATGGCAACGGCACCCACCTGAGTCTGTGGGCAGGTAGAACACCAGGCCGGTTAAGAAGGAGAAGAGCAGGCAAGGGATGATGACATTGACGATGAAGTAGAGGGGCAGGCGCTGCATGACGAAGTGGTAGGTGATGTCCAGGTAGGGGGTGGAGGGGCAGCAGGCGTAGAACACCCAGTGCTTCCAGCCACGGGCCTCTTTGATCACCCATTCCCCACTCTCCATGAAGTTGCTCAGGTCAGGCTGGTCACTTTCCTGAGAAGATGAAGTGAAACTTTCAAAACCCAGCCATGTCACCCTGAGGAAGGGCAGGTTTTCGTAATCATCTGTGACGATGCAACAGGTTCCAGTGCCTTACATACCCAGAGCGGACCCTGGGTCACTTCCCCTTTGGGGCCTCAGTTTACTTTCTCAAACAATAAGAGAGTTTGAACTATTGGGATTCAAGCCACCTTAGGAGCTTTAAAACATATTGGTGCCCTAACCTCACCCCACACTGATTAAATCCAAATTCTTGGGGCTTCATTTAAGCTCCCAGGTGATTCTCATGGGCAGCACATCAAGAACCTTACCAGCCAACTGAGAACCATCTGGCTAGATGATGCCCAAAGTTCCCAATGGTGCCAGGAGCCCATGATTATCAAGGGCAGAGTTGAAGACCTGAATCATGCTTTTCCTGAATCCACCCTCATTGCACGAGGTCACCGCCTACCGGGTTGATGGCCACCACAGAGCCGTCATAGGTCCAGGTTCCCAGCTTCATGCTGCAGTTCTGTTCATCAAAGGGAAAGTGGGTGACGATGATTTCACAGTAGCTTTTAAAGATGGCCGGAGGTGTCCATGTGATGTGGCCAGTATAGTCCAGGAGCACTTTGGTGAACTTGACAATGGCAAAGTCACCATCTGCACTACAATGGGACCAAAGAGGAGTAGCTGTTAATTATTCAGGTGCTAATCATAGGTTTCTCTCAGGCAGTTTGCTTCTTACCTATGCCAATGTTTTCCCAATCTGTCTGATAATAAGAACCACTGGGCTGTATGTTAAAATATAGATTCCTAAGCACCACCGAAGCACTGAACCAGATTACCTGGGGTGGGAACCTTTGGTTTTAAAGAAGTAACAAGCAATATTGATCCATTACATCCCAAGTTTTTTTCTTCCCATTGCTTAGCAGTATTTGTAATAATCTCCAGATTATTGGATTTTTCCTCAGAAGCTAAAAATCTCCATTTTTATATCCCAAGTTTTTCTAGAGAGGCTAGAAGACTTAGATTTTGATGTGATAGTTCCCAGTTTTCAAATGTTGGCAGTAATTTCTTGTTAAAAAATATCCACCATGGTAGATATTAAAAGTAACAAAAGGCCATTTCTGAGGGTCTTATTCGGTGAGCAGTCCTTGTCCTATAAACAGCCTGCGTCCCAGGCCTTGGCCAAGGGCAGAATGTAGGTGTCAGACAGGTAGGCGGGGTCTGCCTCAGTGGGCTTTCAGGGACATGCAGCATATATTGCTGTCTCACTTCATAAGTCAAGAAATTTTCTTCCCATTGACTTTTCCTTGGAACAGAAGTGGGGATCTATCCAGAAAACTATGCCCTGTTGAGCCTTTCCAAAGAGCAGAGGGCCACATCATCTACACCTCTCCCTTTAAGCAGGTCAGACAGGGTTCTCTCCCCACCGGGGTGTTCCTCAACAAGCTTGTCAAAAGGACCAGAGGAGTTCATAGCTTCCCTCACATTCTCACTGGAAGAGAAAACGAACACAGGACACTTGGCCCTACTAGCATAATTGTCAAAAGTTTACACAAATTATTGGATCATTTGGCTCATGCTTGAATGCCAGTTATAACAGGAAAATATATAAGTAAGGAAATTGAAAGAGGGGTGGTTGGCTATAAAGGGTGTCCTTTCCACTCACTGGCCGCTGCCGCCTTCCCTGGTAAGTCTGCTCACCCCACACACGGGCTGCATCCTGTCAGGCGCAAATCCTCTAGGCCAGTGTTAAATGCTCCTGCCTGGGAAGGATGCGCTTTGAGATGCACAGTCCCTGACAAATGAAGGATGTATGATAATGAACATGTCATTAGAGCAGAGTGTCTTGAATCACATTATAGTTTTGTGACATGCAGTCTGTCACAGAGTCCCTGGGTGGGCTACGCAGGCGTCCCGGGCCGTCAGCCGCGCGGCTGCCATGAGGGTGTGATGAATAACGACCCCGGGAGGCTCAGACCTACTGGCAGGAAGGACATTTAGTTCCAAGGAACTCAATTATAGGAAGTTTGGGCTCCTTGGATAGTTGCCATACACCCTTCAGGAGCTCTCAGGGATTAAATGTCCTCCACCCACCGCCCTGATTCAATTTGGCTCTGATAATTGTTCCTCTTCATAACACGAGACACCATATGGCGCCCTGGCATGGCAGCTTGGCTCTTGGTTTTTGAAGCATACCGACAGGGGCGGCCCTTCTGTTAGGGCGCTGGGCTCCACCTACCCCAGGAAAGTCCCCGCCCCATCCTGTCCGTTTTGCTTACTTGTTATAGAGAACGATGTCTGGGCGCCAGATATTTTCAGAGGGGATGTGAATTTTTTTCACGCCGCCATAGTCAGCTGGATTCCATTTTAGGTTGTAATCTACCCATTGCTAGATATGAAGACACTTAGCTGATTAGAAAGCTCAAAACATTTTTTAAACAATATAGGGTTATCAAGAGCTCTGATGGATATAGTCATTCAGATAGCAACATAAATTGTGCTCTATTGTAAGAAAGGTTTGCTTCAGACGTCAGCTTTCATTTTAGATAACAATAGCAGCAAACACTTCTACTGACTGGCTACATGCAGGCACTGTTTTAAGCATTTTGCTGGTATTGATCATTTAGTTCTCACAACAATCCTGTGAGGTAAGAGTGATCATTGCCCCCATTTTACAGGCAGGAAAACAAAGGTACCTCCAAGTCATGCCTCTGGGTGGTGGCAGATCTATCATGCTACAACGCCCACGCCAGGAGAGGAGAATGACACTATTGTGAACATTTTTCCTGAAGTTAGCAGCATCATTTTTAAAAAGTATTATAAAAGTAATATATGCCCAATGCAGAACATTTGGATAATATGATGTTATGAATTGAATTTTGTCTCCCCAAAATTCATGTGTTGAAGTCCTAACTCCTGGTACCTCAGAATATGATCCTGTTAGGAGATAGGGTCTTTCGTGAGATTATTAAGTTAAAATAAGTTCATTAAGGTAGGCCCTAACCCAATATGAGTGGTGGCCTTACAAGAAGGGGACATTTTACAACAGATGCATATTCAGGAAAAATGCCATGAGAACACGACGACAGCTAACTATAAGCAAAGGAGAGAGGCTGAGGCAGATTCCCCCTCCCAGCCCTCGGAAGAAACTCATTCTCCTGACACCTTAACTTTGGACTTTGGGCTTCAACAACGATGAGACACATCTCTGTTGTTTGAACCACCCAGTTTGTGGCTTTGTTATGGCAGCTCTGGCAAACTAATACACACAGAAAAAACACAAAGTGAAAACAAACACACACAAACAAATACGATCCATAATCCCACTACCCCAAGTACTTACTTTAACGTTTTGGTATATACCCCTTTAACTGAAATTGATTTACTGTGGGTCCGGGTTAAATTTCAGGATGACTACAACAAACATGAATGCAATGATCTAGCTGAAATACCTGTTTTAGTCGAACATTGGTTGTCACAATCTGATTTACTTCATCCTGGAAAAAGATAAGACCCCATCCTTAGGGGGCAGAGAGGGGAGGAAAGGGGAGGGTGCTCCAGGGTGAGACTGTGGGTGCTGTGGGGGGCCCAGAACACTCGGCTCTCACCACATTGATGAGCTGTATCAGCTGCAGGCCCACGGTGACCTCCACAGCCTGGCGGTGGTCTTCCACTGGCCGCACCACGCTGTTGTAGTGTTCGAATAGCTTTGCCACCAGACGGGTCTCGTGTTCGGAGCCCAGGACAAGGCCAGCTGAGGCAGCAAATGACACACACATGGTCAGATTCTGCTCCCCACCTCCACGTACGCTAACACGAGGAATTGAGGCACGACCAGCTGACGGAAGGCACGCAGGACCCCTGGTTGAAGGGATCCCAAGTGCAGCTGGTATTTCCTGAAGTCCTGTCTGAGCACAGCTGCTGGTATGGTCCCTTCTCAGTGGGGCGTGCCAGGTTATCGTGACGCTTGTACTTTGGACAGAGGACATTCCTTAACACAGTTTCTGGCTGAATCAAGTTTGCTAGGAATATGTACATACAAGAAGAAAGATCCCCCCAAATCCAGTCTCAGTATTTCAGAGTCTGGTCATGGTGTAATGAAATCTCGGATTGGCTAGTCTCCGAGGCGAGGGACAGCCAAAAATTAGTGCTGGCTCATACCCCTTAGGATGGCCATAATTAACAAAGTTGAAAATGACAAGTATTGGTGACACCGTGGAGAAACAGGAACCCTTATATATTGCTGATGAGAATGTGGACTTGCAGTCCCTGTGGAAAACATTTCAGTGGTTCCTCACCCAAGTTCAACACAGAATTAGTGTACGACCTACCAATTCCACGTCTGGGCATATCCCAAAAGAATTGTTCACGCAAAAACTTGTACCTGAAAGTTCATAGCAGTACTATGTACAGTAGTTAAAAGATCGAAACAACCCAAATATCCATCAACAGGTAAGTTGATGAACAAGTGGCATAACACCATTCACTGGAATATTATTGAGCCAGAAAAAGGAATGGGGTACTGATACATCCTATAACATGGCTTAACCTTTAAAACATTGCGTTATGTGAGAGAAACCAGACACAAAAAGGCACATATTATATGGCTGCATTTATATGAAATGTCCAAAATAAATTAATCCATAGAGCAGATTAGTGGTTACCAGGGACCGAGGGACAGGGGAATAGGGAGTGACTGCTAATGGGTACAGGGTGTCCTTTCCGGGTTATGAAAAGTTATGAAACTAGATAATGGTGATGGTTGCATAACATTTTTAATGTACTTAATGCCACTAAATAGTTCGCTTTAAAATGGTCATTTTATGTAATGCATATTTTACTGTGGTAAATTTTTATATCATGTGTATTTTACCATAATTAAAAAAAAGTCACTGCTGGTGGGTACATGTCCCATTTACGTTATTAAGAGAGAGAGAAAACTGTGCTTTGCTGGCCTGGTTTGGGGCTGCCAGGTGGCGCTTGAGTGATACCAGGGGGCCTGTACTGAATTCCCTCTCAGGGTGGAAAGCATGATCATCCATACTCTCAGGGCTCGCAGCCCTTCTAGGGCCAATGCCACGTGGTCCTCGCCAGCCTCCGGTGAGGCTGGCATTTTTCACCTGGGATTCTGGGAGGATGCACGACTTGCGCCAGGTCCTGCAGCTCGGGCGAGAGCCCTGCTGCTCTGTGCTGTGCTCCTGCAGTCACTCAGGAGTGTGTCACGGGCTGTCTTGGAAATTGTACAACATTATCCCTATTAGGAAAAATACTCCAGATTCCAGCAAGTGCCTTACGGGAGATTTTTGTAACTCAAGCCTCGTGTGGCTTGGGGATTGCCTGTGCAGGGCTGGGAGAGGAAGCAGACACGCGATCCATTGGCCCTGATTCATGTAACCAGATCGTCCCTTTCCGCAGGTTATTGCTGAAATCCTCCAACCTCCTCCCTGGACCACGACAACGTGAAAAATTGAATGAAGGAGATGCTTTCTCTTTTTTCCCCAGGAGTGTTAACCTACTACTTCTAAGACAAGTTACTGTTATTTTTTAAACTACTTTTTATTGATTTTGCCATTATACTTGTCCCAATTGTTCCCTTTGCCCCCCTCCACCCAGCACCCCCACACGCACTCCCTCAGGCAGTCCCCCCACCATTGCTCATGTCCGCGGGCCGTGCGTGTAAGTCCCCTGGCTACTCCAGTCCCTTATACAGTATTTTACATCCCCGTGGCTATTCTGTAACTACCTATTTGTACTTCTTAATTGCTTCACCTCTTCATGCATTCCCCCACACCCCTCACATGGGCAACCATCAAAACGCTCTGGTAGCCATGATTCTGTCTCCATCCTTCCTGTTTGCTTGTTTGTTTTTTAGATTGAATTGGTGACAGATATGTATGTATTATCACTGTATTGTTCATAGTTTTGATCTTCTTCTTTTTCTTAAATATATTAGTTGTATCCATGCATCTTAAGTTTGAAAGAGTTTGTCAACAAAATAATTATAAAGTAAAAACTAATTACTCTTCCTATTTTTATTAATAAAAATAACTGACATGTCCGACTTAGGTACTACGTTTCTACATGCTTATATATACTAACTCTTTTTAGCTTCATAATGGGGTGTGGTAGGTACTGTTTCTCTCCTCACTTTACAGATGAGGAAATTGAGGCACAGAGAGCATAAATGACTTGCCCAGGTTTCCCAAGTGGCAGAGCCAGTATTCGAATCTAGAGCCCATGCTCTCAGCCACTATTTCTCACCCAGAACTTGAGATCAGCTTGAAATAGCCTACTTGTACAATAAGTTGAAGACATTTTTATCCCCCCCCAAAAGCATGCTTTAATTAGCCTTCAGAGCTTTGTTAAAGGCCCTGTGTTTGTATTAAACTCATTAGATGCTTGTAACAGTCCTACGAAGCAAGTCTTTAGCCCTGTATTACAAGTGAGGAAATTGAGGTTGGGACAGCTGGGCGATGTATTCATTGTTCCCCACTAGTCAGAGATGGGACTGTGAGTGGGGTAGGCTGACACTAGGGCCCGCGCTCTTTGCCACCTCCCTAAAGGTACATGTGTCATTTCCATTTGGATTTTTGAAGCTCTCGGTGTTGCTGCAAGCTCTTCGTTATGACCTCCCTGGACTCGCTATAGGGAATCCGTGACCTAGCCTGCCTCTTCCATTTCCTGAACCCAAAAAGGTCCATGCAGACCTTTCGTATGGCATCTCCCCAAATACACCTGCATTCGAGGACTCTTCCAAGGAGCATGTTGTCCAAAGACCCAGTGTTTGCAGTCACCCCGTTGAGCCGCTGGGACATGGAAATCCTCTGCCCCCCATGCTTGTCTATCCTGGGCCCCACTCAGCCCATAGGGGTAGGCGACTGGCATGGGTCACTGGGTGCCTTGGCCACTGAATTTGAAGCTATTGCTTTGGCATTGCCTTGGGCTGCTTATTTTCAAGTGATGGTTTATTCCGGTTTGATAGGAAGAACATACTGGAAAGCAACAAACAGAGCAGATGGTGAGCATTATGTAGCAGGAAAACTATGCAGGCCAACCCTATGGCCCCCTAAGGAGAGGCGGGGCCTGGGAGACGGGCGGCTGCGAGGCAGGTGCGGTCAACTTGCCAGTGCCGCTCCTGCCCCCTTTCCCACCTCGGCCGGTAACAACGGGCCTGGCTCCTTCCGTAGGGAATTTCTCAGGAATTTCCAGAAAGGTCTCCGTTTCTTAGATTGGGTTCATTTGTTTTCTGTCCCTGTTTTTCCTCTTTGAAACAGGGTCAAGTGACAGAAAACTTATGGGTCTTGAAGTCAGAATTCTACAGTTCTATTCCTAAATCCACCGTGGTCTGGAGAATTGGACCAGTTCCCCATAGAGTCAAAGAATCACAGTAACTACTTTCTTTAAAATGCAAGGTATAAATTAATGACCACACAGATGAATAAATAATGTCCAAGTCTCCCCTGTCAGCAAAATCATCCTTGTTCAGATAGTGGTAACCTTAATTTGTTCAACAACTATTGCATTCACTGTGTGCTAAACGTTGTTTTAAGAGCTTTGAGATATTCAAAGGTGAATCTGACGTAAATCCTGTCTTCCTCCTGGAGACTGACATTTCTCACTTACATAAATAGCTGCGAACAAGTTGGAAAGTAATATGCTGTAAGTGAGGTGGCAGTAAAGTACCTGGGATTTTTGAGACAGAAGAGAGGAAAGATTGTAATAAAAAATGCTTCATAAGTAGAACAGACATTATTATGTGTTAAGCTAATGCAGGAAAATATATCCCTGATATGAATGAGAATTTTGCCCACGAAGGATTGATTCTAAATAGGGGAACACAACCAAAATTTCAAAATGTTTTTTTGTACCATACTGTTCCAATTTGTATTTTTATGCCCACTGGGTTGGGCAAAAGGAATTCTCTACTATTACTAGTCAACTTGGGTAATGCTTATCTCGACCTGGTGCTGTATTGTTTTGCCACCTTTGGCAATTTCAGGCTGTTTTCTGACTGTGCATATACCAAACGGAGTTTCCACAAGATCACGTTCCAAATTTATAAATTCAGTGATTTTGGGCAGGTCAGTTCATGTCTTCCAGCTTCAGTTTCTCTATAATACAAAACTGAAGATGTTGGAATGCCTCATCCAGCCCTAAATTCACCTATGTGAATCAATACCAGCAAATTCTAAGATTGCTCTAAATACAAGTCACATTCTTTTAAAAGTAGCTCAGCATGCATTTTTTGGAAGCTGTTGGTGTCCTAACAGACCTTCTAAAGATTTTTAGGCATAAGCATATCGCTTAAGAATTTTCACTGAGTGTCACATTTGCACACACACAGGCGCACACACCACCACCCGCCGTTGGTGCCACCGCCACTGCCAGGCCAGATTTGGCTGGATCACGTCCAAATCCCAGAGGATATAATTTATCTGGATTTATCAGAGTTTAGGCGATTTCCCTCAACTCTGTTATTGAAAAACATTAATAATAAAGCTCTTTTCCTCTTTTGCCCAGAAGGCCTGTGTTTGTCAGAGCAATATTAGAGAAGTCACAGTATGTCAGCTGCCTTGCTTCTCAGTTGGGATGATATCACCGCTAAACTTTTATATGAAGCAATCAGCAAACATCTCCTATTTTCCTCCACCGGAAGTCTGGGATTCAGGGTAGTATTTCCGCTGCTGTGTTGTGACACATTCCAGAGTTAAATACAGTCCAAGGGCTGCGCAAGCCTTTCCAGTTTCAATTCCAATCCAAACCTACATATAGTAATGAACTTTAAAAGAAAAAAAAAGATAGGCAAGAATGCATTCATATGAACTTTTTTTTTAATTTCAGAAGTTTAAAACGTTGCAAAATATTTCATCTCATGGAGAGAATTTAATTACAAATATAAATAGGTTTCTCTCTCCAGCACAGACAATCCTCTTTATTATCAGAATTCTCCAGGAGCAATAAAAGGCGCTGTTAGCCTTATTGTTTGGGACTGTCAGTGGGTCCCACTAAGTGCCTGTAGTCGTTCAAATTTGAAAGCAGCTCCGGGGTGGCAGAGCGGTGCGCAATGTGATCGTGCGGGCGCGGCGGATGCCTGGCGCTGATCGAGGGAGAGGCCTGCCTGTTACTTTGTAGCCTTAGACCAAGCAACTCCTATTTTATTTGGAAAACACAAACGAAAAATCTTTATCCACACACCCAATCAAGCCAACATTGGTGAGAAGCTGACGGCAGCCTGGGGCTGCTGAAGCCCGCCGTTCTGTGTTCCCATCAAAGAAGCCCGAGTCTGGTTTGTGCGTTTCTAGCGCTTCAGCCTCAGAGGAGAGCCCCCCAGCACCGGCACCTACCTGAGCAGAGGCCCAGGAGCAAGAGGAGCGGCCGGGACTCCATGGGCCGCGGGCGCTGGTGCGGACCGGCGGCAGACTGGTGACCTGTGCTGCTGGCCGGCACTCTGGCTGGACACTTGGCTGCTAAGGGGTTTGGACAGGGAGTCGGCTCCGCGGAGCTATTGTTTTACACCACCTGTTTGCGGCAGTGACAGCTGGGCTGCCCCGAGCTCTGGAGGCCAGGGAGTCGCTGAGGCCTTGCACTGTTACTGAGCGCCTCTCCGCACACAAATGCTATATACCCTTGACAAGTTGAGTGTGAACTGCATTATGTTTTATATGCATCGTGGGTCAGATCTTAGTTTTTTAAAAAAAAAAACTTACAGTAGGGAAGTTCTTAGTTTTGAATAGTGAGCAACGCTCTCCCTGTTGTGAAAACGAGAACCTCACCTCCGTGGATTGATTTGTTTAGGGTCACTTGGTCTGAGCAGCGAGAGTCAGCGGTGTATATTACACACTGATCCTCTTAAGTCCCAGAAGTCCACATTCCGCACACAGGGAATTCGACTGCTCAGGGTCACTCGAGGCTGAGCCTGACTGGAGCTTTGGTGAGAAAATGAATTTGAGAAGCATGTGGCTGGCACTGAATCTACTGCTGGAGAGGTCCAGGTTTGATCGCACTTGGTTTTTAACGAAGGAGTCTTCTTCCGTAAGGTTGGTTTTACTGGCTTCCGGAGCGGCTGTCCCAGTCCCGCTCTGTCTCAGGCCGCGGCTGCCCCGCAGCGGCCGTTCCTTCGCCGGAGCAGACCGCCCACCGCCCACATACTGTGATTCACGTGAGCAGTAATCAACAGCAAGGTGTCCCGCTGCTTAAGCTCTTGTTCCAGATTCCTGCTCCCTTCCATCCAGCCAGTCCTCCGCCAGCTCTCACTGGGGAAGCAAAGAGCAGATTGGTTCAGCTTTTCCTTTGTTTAAAAAAAAAAAATCCTAAAAGCCAGCAGTTAGTAATTGCTCAGCTTGAGAGGGTTTGTTGGTTTGCTTGTTTGTTTACCAAAACAGGGAGGCAGTTGTTAGGTAAAGATACACTGCTTGCTCCTTTTCTCCCTCCTTCCCAGTTGAATCAGGTGAGGAAGGTCCTTCACCTCAAGCCCAAGGACAGCATTCTGACAAATTCCTCATTTCAGTGAGTCCAAATAATCAGAGAAAGGAGTTGGAGGGTAGAGGAGAGAGCTGAGAGTTTACAGTTATGTGTTTTCTGTTCAAAATTGCGGGAGATCAGCTAATTGTCCAGTAAAAAAAAATGGTTCTCTCCCTTCAACACAGCATTGCACTGTGACTGCCTAGCCAAGGAGTTATACCCGCCCCCCACCCTCCACCCCAACACACCTTGCCCCTTGCATCTAGATGAACTCATGTGACTGAATCCTAGAAAATGAAATGTGAGAAGAAATTATATGAGACTTGAAAGGACAGAGCCAGCGCCGTTTGCTATTATGGCGCCATTTGCCGAGCAGGCCTGTGACCCTGTTAAACGTGACTGCAGCTTCGCTCTCCTGAGCTTGCCCCCAGACTGGAAATTACTGGAAAGCAAGAAAAGAACATGAATAACCACTTTGTACAGCAACAGGCAGAAGATAACATTGGAACAAACGGCAGCCTCCTGTTACAACACCCCCAATAGCCCAGGAGCCTCATAGCAGCACCTCTCCCTTTTATAACCCAATTATAGTTCAATAAAAGCTCAAAGCCCCTACCCCTCAAGGCTGGTGTATGTCTCCACACCATGCCCCTCTCCTGTCTTGGAGAGTGAATAAAAGCTTTACTCTCTGCGCTTTCTTCTCTGTGTGAATTCTTTCACAGCCACATCACAGACCAACCTAACAAGACTCACAAACCTCCTACCAGAGCCATCCATGCTCTTGTCATCTTCTGACTGCAAGGCATGGACATGACCCCCAGGGCAACCTTGGAAACCATGTGTCGAAGGGGCTTTGCTTTTGACAGCCTGGACCCTGAATGACTTCCTGGAAGAGGACACCCCATTGTCCTGGTCACCACCCAGCTCTCTTTCATGAATGAGAACAAAACTTTCATTGTGTTAAGCTATTGACATTCTTGGGTTTATTTGTTCTGAAGCTAATGTTACCATTATTAATACAAAATGTACTCCCTTGCATTGGGGTCCTGTGGTTAAGAATAAACCCTAAAATATGTAGCACTGCAGAGGAAGGCAAGAAAATTGGTACTGGAGGCTGAAAGGATGAAGACTCATGTTATGCAATAAAGTGTTATTTAATAAAATGGTTCCTCGATTACTTAGTAAGCAAAGTATTACTGAGAACCTGTGGTTCTCAACAAAAAGGTTGGAAAACCCAAGTTAGTGCACATTGATTCTTACTGGCTTTGCTTAGTGAGTCAGTACAAGGGAGAGTGAAATTCAGAGAGGAATTGGCTGCTTCAAGAGCAGCAATGAAAGGGAGTAGAAGGAGTCCAGAAATCTGGAGTCCTCTGGTTCGAACTCCAAAGAGTAAGTGATAACAAAGAAAAAAGGCTTCGGGCCACGAAAGCCCATTAAGAATTCTCAGTAAGCAGATAGTTGCACCACCTCAGCGAAGGTCAGTTTAAGGGCACTTCATCGTTTCGCACTCAAGCCTGTTTTTTCCAGGTGGCTTCAGGATGATTGCTGTTAGGTTGACGGAGAGGAATAGAGGTTCCAAGGCAAGAAGTTAAGCTTGAGAATGAAGACCAGGAGAGAACCCCATGTGTGCACACTGGCCCATGGAAATGGCTGCAAACAAACATTTCAGGAACTTCCTAAGTATTTGGAGGAATTGCATAGCCAAAGAGTTCCTGATGCCCCCAGAAACAACCCTCAACCCCTGCAAAAAGGATAATGCCCCAGCTTCCTCACCCCCATAGTGGGGTAACTAAGGCTCACTCTATGCTGAACATTGTGGGACCGAGTCCCTGTTACCCATGGTGGAAACGGCCCGACAACCCTCCCTTTATTGTCTTTCTTCTCTTCTCTGCCTCACTCTCCCTTCCCCGCCCCCGCCCGCCGCCTCTCAGATAAACTCCGTCCAGGGGCTGCTTTTGGGGAAACTCAAGTCAAGACGGCATCCCTCCCGCTGTCTGGGCAGGGGGTCTTCCCATTGGTGAAATGGGTGCCTTTTCCGCATTTCTAGTAACTTACCAACTCTCTTCTGGAGGTGAAAAGTAGACTAAAAAAAAATCAAAACTTTCTCGGAAGCAAACCTATTTTTTCATTGAAAATTTACTATTCAAGTAATTTATATTTACTATAGAAAAATTAGAAAACAGATGAACAAAAAGGAAAATGTTTACCCGCTAACCTTCTACCCAGAAATATCCATGGTTAATAGGTTATTTTACATCCATTTAGACAATTCCAGGTATGGATATGTATATGTTTATATGTATTTCACTATCCTATATCCCTACTTCATGTTATTTAAAGTCGGAAGATTTCCTTTCATTTTTAGGCTTTTGTGGATTAACCACTGCTAGGGAAATGCTGTTTTCAGATTAATCTCTTTTCCAGCTTTATTAAGGTAAAAGTGACCAATAAAGTTGTAAAATATTTAAAGTATACAGTGTGATGCTTTGGTATTCATTGCGAAAGCAATCCCCCCATGCATTCTTTTATGAAACACTTTTTCCACTGAGCGTCGCTACGTGCCAAGCACAGCCCTAAGCATTTGGGATACATCAGCAAACGGAACAAAGATTTCTGATCCTTAGGAATAATGCACTCTAGTTGGAGAAAATAAATGGACAAATATGAATATAGTTAATAAGGAAAATTGTTTAGTATCTTATTGGGTGAGAAATGCTGAGGAAGAAAGAAACAGTAGAGCAGGGCGAAGGGACCAGGAGAGCCGGAGAGGGGCCGGCTTCTTCGAGAACCGGCCGTCTGACAAAGCCCAGACAGCGCTGCAGATACCCGCGGGCGAGTCCAGGTGGAGGGAAGGGCCCGAAAACTCGCAAAGGGGAATGGCCTGCGGTGCTCAAGACACAGCGCCAGCCCGCCGCGCTGGCGCAGAGCGAGTGATGGGGAGGCGGCTAGGAGACCAGATCAGAGCACAGCCAGGGGGAGGGGGGGATGCGGCCCACCTTGTGGACTTTTATTCTGTGTGAGATGGGGAGCCCCTGCAGGGTTTTTGAGCAGAGGGGTGACACGATCTGACATACGTTGTAAAAGAACAGCTGTGACTCCAGTGGTGACCAGAGGCTGTAGGGGAGACCGGTTAGGTGCCACTGCAGCCGCCCAGGCAGTAGAGGGCGGTGGAGGGGACCAGAGCGGTTGCCTTGAGGGCGAGGCGACCCAGTTGGATTTGGGAATATATTTTGGCGCTAGGGCTAATGGGATTTTCTCACGGATTGGATCTGGCTGTGAGAAAGAAAGGATGATGATTTAAGATGATTTGCAGGGTTTTAGCTCGAACATCAGGAAGGATTTAGGTGCCAACAAGTGAATTAAGGAAGGCAGTGAGTGAAGCAGGTTTAATGGAGGGGCAGGGTGCGTAAGCAGGAGCTCTGTTAGGGACCTGATGAGTTTGAGATGTCTGTTCGGAATGGGTAGGCAGCTGCACGCATGAGGCAGGAGTTTAGGGGAAAGATGTAGGCGAGGGCAGGTGGTGCTGAAAGCCATGGCTGGATAAGGTCAAAGGAATGAGTACAGGCAGAGAAGAGAACTAATGGTGAAAAACTGGGAAGAGGAGGCTGCCGCCCAGACTGAGGAGGAAGTGTGGGGCAGGAAGAGAGTGGGGAGACGGTGGACTCGGGGAGCCCGCTGAAGACAAGAAAGTGGCAGTGTCGCTGTGTTCAAGCTTCTGCTGGAGCCATGAGAGGAGGACAGAGATGACTATGGTCTTGGCAATATGAAGGCCACAGTGACTTTGACATGTACAAAACCTCACTGCAGTACGTTTAAGAGGGGAGGAATTAGAGGCGCTTTACTGCAAAGGGTAACGAAGAAATGAGGTGATAGTGGGTGGGGGATGTAGGGTCAACAGAAGTTAATTAATTGAAGTTTCTGTTTTCTGACCTTTTTTTTGCATGGGAAAAATAACAGCATATTTGCATGATGATCATAATGATCCAACAGTAAC